CAGTGCTATTTGGCAATGACCTTTGGCGAGCGACATCCAAGTTGCTTGAGGAACTATTACTGGCCGGTAGAAGGAGTAAGGAGAGTGGGTTGGGAACGGAAAACAAAAAGTTAAACAAAGGTTGGGAAATCTGAGCAGTAGCCCACTTATCACTACCCACCTCGCTCGATGCAATGGGCAGCGCGGTCCTGATTATCCTGCTCGACGACCGATGCAGTTTGGAATCATTTTTAGTTTGGGTATGCATTGGGGTTTGGTGGACGGGTACTACTAGGGTGTCCAGCCACTAAGCATGAGAACGATCAGGGTTCTCGTCCAAAGCGTTTAGTTCTAACAGGAACCTAACCGCAATGCAGCGGGTGAAGTGAAGTGGAGGCCCATGTACTTGGATCGATTACTCCTCCACCGTTTTCCATCGACTGAAACGCCAAATTCCAGGCGAACCCCCAACCTGAAGGACCAGGAGATTGGACTCCGTCTGATCTTTACCCATTGATCTTCCAGGCACGATAATATCTGGCTTTATAAAACCATCCTGTGTAGCTCGTTGGGTGATAGAGGTGCACAAGCCATCACACCACGTCAATGTGTAGTCTAGTCGTGATGGGAATGAGAATTAGAATGTTGAGAGCAGATTTAAGCGAAAGGTTTCAGTTTCAGTTTGTACAACCATTAACCACGCATATTCGTAAGCTGTGCGGAAGGTAGCACATTTTCATAGACTGAAGCTACAATAATAATGAGTAGATGCATGAGCGCCACTGTTTGCGACACCCAACCATCTCGCTGTCTAACCACCGGTGACCATGAGCCTAACGGGACCTATGTGAGCCAGTCTCCTGCTCAGGGTTTTTATCTCCTGGGGTTGCAAGAGTAGTGAGTAGATGAACGAGGTTCATTGTTTGCGACATTTAACCATATCACTCAGTGTCTCTAGCCAACGGTTACTATAATCTCGGAGTCCCCCCACTCGGAGAGGTTAACGGGAATTGTAACCCAGTACAATCGACCCTTCACAGACAGCCGGATGTCACGACGGCACCAGAGATGTCTCAAGTTGGCAAATGCCAACCGAGTCTTCTGTATGCGTGCCGCCACTTCATCTGTGATGCGTCGGCCAGGTGAGATATAGCTGTTTACTTCTTCTGCTACTTCACCAGTTGAAGTGAGATTCGAGACATGGTCAACCCAACCTTGTAGCAGTATTCCACAGAAGGTGCAAAACGCATGCCGAACATGGATACACTTGCACTCAAACCATACAGAAAAGCCTGCAACTGATCTGGATCTTCACTTAGTAGCACGATATCGTCTGCATACTTCATATCAGACAGCCTACCACCTAGGAGTAAATCGATGCCGCCATCCTTGTACAAGGATAGGGCTGTTTTAAGAATTACATCTTTCAAAAAGTTAGATGGAAACGGAAAGAGAGAGAGAGGCAGAGTAACCCTGACGAACACCACTTTCTGTAGTGAACTCAAGTGGAAAAGTGCCGTAAAGTCAGACTCGGCTCATAACCATTTATCTGTGAAGAATATCTTGAGGTGAAGCGCTTTCGGCAGAAAGATTACCCTTTTGTTGTTAAGCATAGAAAGTGCAGAATATCAATAAACAGCTCAAAATCACGGGGATTCGAGAATTCAGTTAAAGGCTGAGCTTGACCCAAGGGACTAGTAATGACGTGTAAAGGGGATAGAGAAGGGCACAATACGATTCCAGAAAGTGTGACAACAATGCAAAGCACATTTCAAGAAACTTACATTCACCATCGCAAGACTAGCAACACCAAATACAGTGCTGCGTTCCCGAACAGCAACAAATCGTTGGCCAGCTTCTGTAGGATCTCGAGCTGCATCTAATTCTGCGAGGGATCGCTGCAAATCGTCACCTTTACGACTCAAGGTTTCCTGGTGGCGTTGAAGATCCACCAAATGATGCTCCATCTTTGTCAACAGCTGATTCACAAGTCGCATCGCATCATCCGTAGACATTGTGCAGTTTTTGTACTCTACATCGTCCTCATCACCCTCTGTGTACACATCGGAGTCATCACCTATGACAAAAACGGAATCGGACGGTTTAAAAACTAGCAAAAATTATCAACACCACATTCGTGAAAACTTCATGTGAGGTAGTCCAACATTATCATCATCACTGTACAGCGTAATACAGTGAAGCGAACTTCACTGATCGCTATCAAGCTCATATCGCATAGGTAAGTGAGAATGCGTAAGGAGGATAGGGACTGGATTCAATTTTAGAGACGGGAAAAGAAAGCGAACCTCTATGATCAACACACAGAGTGCGCAGTCCAACTGTGCATACATACAATTTCAAGCATTCTGGTCTGATAAGAATTGACAATATGATCGCCATTGCTGTCGGTTCGCAGCCATGACCTTTAGTGTCTCCAATCATGCGGTTTCGGAGTCTTTTAGATCCCAACCCGGAAGATGAGAGATACCTACTCCACCTAATAGCTGTGCATTTACTCATGCCTCGTCTCTGCATCATCTGCTGGCCTCCACGAGGCTTTCTGCAGCCTGCAACAGCCGCTGCGAACAAGGTTAACTGTGGCAGGCGACCGTCGGACATACGCCAAACGTGTCCTAACCAACGCAGCCTATTGAGCTGAATTCGATGCGAAAGCGAGTTCGTGCTCGACAGAT